TCAAACTTCCATGGGCACCCTGGAGACCTGGATTGCACCTTTCCGTCTTAAAAGATGGAAAATCGACGCTCCCCCCAAAAAAAACCTCCCATAACGTGCCGAGAGAATTCCAGGGGTGAGGAGGGGACGTTCCTCCATGGGAACACCTGGATGGGGTCGCACACCCCTGGAGAGGGGGACCTGCTGGAAAGGGGGCACAGGAGTGACCCCGACTCCTTCCTGCACCGGCCGTGCCCGGGAGTTTCCGTGATGCTGGTGCCGTCACCGCTGTGCCGTGACCCCGTGGGGACGTTTCCGGATGTTTCCAGAGGCCGTTTGTCCTTTGGGGAAGGAGAAATCGCCTTCGGGGAACTGAGGGTGGGTGGAGGATGGACAAATGCCCGGCTGGTTTGGGTGGGAAATCCCAGCTCCTGCCCACCCCAAAGATCTTGCCAGGATGGAAAGAGACGTTTGGGGTCTGGGGGTTTCTTTGGGATGGGGATTTTCCATTGGGTACCTCTGGGAAGGACACTCCAGGCAATTCCCGTCCTGTCCCTGGCTGCCCCATCCTGCTGCCCCTGCGAGCATCCCCCTCCCCAAATCCCCAGTGCCCACCAAAACTCTTCCATCTCAGGGTGGATTTTGCAGCTTTTCCGGTGCCCCTGGGCAGGGGAGCTTTGGGTTTTTCTGCTGCCGAGCGCAGGTGAGGTGATGAGAACGCGGAGGCGGCCGAGGATCGGGCTGAGCCCAAATTTGGAGCGTTTCTGCTGCGGCTTCGTGGGGCGGCAGGGTGGGGACACAGTCCTGGCAGGGGACACGTGCTGCGAGCAGTGACGCTCGGAGCCGGTGGCGTTTCTGAGTCTAAAACCCCTCACCCAGTTGCCTTTTGGGGTTAAAAAAGAATTTTTCAGCACCAGCGAACCCCCGGGTCTTGCATTTCCTCATCCATGTTTCTCCCGCCCCCATGGATGGACGGCACATTCCACCTCCCCCAGGGCCACCTGCCATTCCCAGGGAATGGCCATCCATCCCGGGATGCTCTGGATCCCCAGGGAAGGGACGGCAGCCCCGTGAACTTCCCCCAGCCAGGGACATCGGCCACCCCTGGCCATCCCTGCCCGGGCACGGCCGAGCAAACATCCATTCTTTTCTCTTGGAAGACACCCGGGGCGGAAACGCTTGGAAGCGGCCCCGAAAGGACATTCCAAGTCTGGCAGGAAAGCGGCCCCGCTCGTCTGGCAGGAGATGGGCTATTGTCTGTCCCGGTGGCCGGCCGGGATTCCTCAGGTCCTGCCTGGAAGAGGAAAATCTCCGTGTGTGTCTTTATTTTTTCCTCTGCCCTCTCCCAGGGGTGTCGGGGCTGCTGCTCGTGCCGGCACTGGGGCCGTTATTGCTCCTCTGGTGTTTCCTCCTTGGATTTTTCCCCGTTTTGCCGGGTCTCCTGGGCTGCGGTGGCGGGATGAGGTTTTCTTGGGATGATTGGGCACCGCGTTGGGCTCCTCCTGAAGGGAAGAGCTGGGAAGAGCCATGGACCGAGAGTTTTGGGAGGGAGGAGAGCAAAACCTCCAAGAGCTGGGACAGCCTGATGGCCAGGAGAGGGCAGGGTCATCCCAAAAAATCTGGGCAGCCAACTCTCCAAGGGTGCCTTTGCTGTCCCTGGGGTGGGATTGTCCCCAAATTGAGCCCTGAGGCAGGAGGGATGTGACACAGGGTGAGGGATCTTGGCGGCTCTTGGATCCCTGAGGTCCTGCAGAGCCAGGATCCCGGCATCTCTTGATCCCCACATCTCGTAGATCTCCAGACTCCTGCAGCTCTGGAATCTCGTTGCCCCTTGAATTCCCAAATTCCTGCAGTGTCAGGATCTTGGTGTCTCTGGGATCCCAAACTCCTGCTCTGCTGGGATCTCAGCATCCCTTGGATCCAAAGGCTCCTGCACTGAAGGAATCTCAACATTTCTTGGATCCCCAAGATCTTGGTGTCTCTTGGATCCCAAACTCCTGAAGTTCCAGGATCTCAACATCTCCTGGATCCCAAGCACCCGCAGTTCTGGGATCTCAACATTTCTTGGATCCCCAAGCTCCTGCAGTGCCGGGATCTTGGAACATCTTGGATTCCCAAACTTCCGTGGTGCTGGGATCCTGACTTCTCTAGGATTCCCAGGCTCTTCAGGATCTCCCCATCTCCTGGATCCCAAGCTCCTGCTGTACCAGGATCTCGGATCTCTTGGATCCCAGGCTCCTGCAGCGTCGGGATTTTGGCATTTCTTGGATCCAGGCAGGGTGGGGGTTTTCTGGCACCTCATCCCCTTTTCCCGGCCCCTGGAGCTGTTCTGCTCCACACAGCCCGGGCCGATAGGATCAGGCCTGGCTGGCGGGCAGGAAGGGTGGCACGGCCAGCGGGAGAATTGCAGGACGTGCCGTTCGCTGGTGCAAACCTGGGAGTAAAAGCTGACACCATCCCCAAAATCTTGGAGTTGCCGGGCTGGGGTTGGGAGGAAAGGTGAAATATTGGAGTTTCAGGGCTTTGCTGCTTGTGGGATCAGCCCCCAAAACGCTGTGAGGGAAGGAAGCATCCCATGAGGATTCAGGATCTGTTTCCATCCTCTGGGCTGGCGTTTTCCATCCCAACCCCGTTCCCTCCCTTCCTCCCCACCCTGGATTAAATGAGCAGCGTTAAAAGCCGAGAAGATCCCTTGCAGTGCCCCAGGCAGCCCCGGACCCCACACCTGGAACGAGATAACGCCGCCTTTTCCCCTTTTTCCCTTTTTTTCCGTTTCCTCGGCAGGGTGGGTGATGAACCCTCAATGAGGCCTCTTTCAAACTCGGCCCTATTAAAGCGCTTGGCCCCATTTTAAGAGTAAACTTCCAGTGGCACCTGGAGGTGAAGCACAGGAACGGGAACGGGACCTGCGGGAGGGGTGGGATGGGATTTTGTACCTGTCTCAACCCAAAAACATCGCTCAGTGCCGAGGTGCTGCAGTTGCAGCATCCCAAACCTACAAAAACTTGGATTTTTGCGTGGAAAAAACACCAAAAAAAGCCAGGAAGAAAGGGATTTTCACACACACCTGAGGGGTGCTCTGCTCATGCCTGCCTCAGTTTCCCCACCCGTAACACATCCCCACAAGGCAAATCCTTGCTGGAGCGGGCACAGCTTCCCACCGTGTCCGCTCCTTCCCGGCGATGGATTTTGGGGGCCGGGTGGCCCCGGCCAAGGTGAGCCGGGGCAGGAAGGGGCGCCGCAGGATGCGGCAGCCCCCGGGTGATGCGGGGCCGGGAGGAAACCCGGCGGGTTTGTTCGGTGGAGGGCGAGGGAACCGAGATTATAAAAAGGCCCGCTAAGATCAGAAAGGCTGGCGAGCACAGTGCCCTATTGTGGAGCTGTCACACTTCCCTTTACTTTATTGCTTTTGTCCAACACCCCATTGTTCCACTTCCTTTTGTCCCCTATTCACAGCCCTGGCTTTTCATTACCCAGCCGGCCTTGTTGTTTTCATTTCTTTTGTTTGAAGTTCCTGAGAGGAAGGTTTTATTTTCAGCCGTTTGATTAATTCGCAGCTTGAGCCGGGCTTTGTTTGTTATGTAATTGCTGCCCCCAAGCCGGGCGGCCCAGCTCAGCCCTCCCCACCCCGCTTTGCACCCCCAAACTGGGTTTAGGGGCTCCTGAAGGGGATTTGGGAGGTGAGAGGGTGTTGGGTTTGGGGTGGCGGCCCCCAGGCAGGTGCTGTCCCCATGGCAGGGCAATCCCACAAGCCAGATCCCGATTCCCGACAGCGTCCGGGGTAAAGCCCTTCCTTAACAGCCTCCTTTTCCCATTATTCCCACCTGAAAGGCCAGGACAATGCTTGTTCCCGTTCTTGCTGTGTGGTGTGAGGGTTGGTGGCCTCGGGAAGGCAAATCCCCATGGACGCCGCCAATCCTGGCGCTGGCTCTTGGATACCGCGCCTGGCACCCAGAGCGAGGGGTGGGACACGTTTTTTGGGGACAAACCCCACGGAATGCCAGGGCTTGGGGTCCCTTTGGGGTGTTACAGCCCACTCCCCATAAAACTCATCGTCATTCCTGTGATGCCCATCCGGCTGGGAAGGGGTTTGGCACCCATGGGGGCTTTGGTGGGATCAGGGAGAGCCATTCCCGGGGCCAGGCTTTGCCCTGGCAGGACCTTGGCTGGTGCCGTGCTGGGCATTCCCAGAGGTATGTTCTGGTGGCTGGTCCCAGTCCCAAGTCCATCCCATGCCCGGGAGCTGTTCTGGTGGCCGGTCCCAGGTCCAACCCGCGCCAGAGATCCTGGAGGAGCCATTCTGGTGCCATCCCAGGTCTCTCCCATGCCCAGGATTCCCAGAGGAGCTGTTCTGGTGGCCGGTCCCAGTACCAAGTCCATCCCATGCCCGGGAGCTGTTCTGGTGGCCGGTCCCAGGTCCAACCCGCGCCAGAGATCCTGGAGGAGCCATTCTGGTGCCATCCCAGGTCTCTCCCATGCCCAGGATTCCCAGAGGAGCTGTTCTGGTGGCCGGTCCCAGTACCAAGTCCATCCCATGCCCGGGAGCTGTTCTGGTGGCCGGTCCCAGGTCCATCCCATGCCAGACATTCCCAGAGGAGCCGTTCTGGTGCCGTCCCAGCCATGGCTGGGCAGAGCCGGGATTTCCACTTCCCATCGGAGCGGGAATCCTGCCACCGCTCCGATGGCTTTCTAGGCACGGCTCCTGGACAGTGAGGGGGACCTGGGGACCCCGGGATGCTGGCACAGGTCCCTGTCACCCTGAGCCTGGGCTTGCTGGACGTGGCATGAAGGTCCCCCAAGTTGTCCTCAGTCCCAATCCTTTAGGAATTTACTCCTCCGTTCCAAGATTTCCCTGAGGACCGAGCCCCAAAACACCCGGAAAACCGGGAACAAGAGCTCAGCTCTGCCCATGGCAAACCCCAGGGGCAGCGTGGGGTGCCCTGGTGTGGACCCAGGCTGGGAGAGGGGTGCCCATGCCCAGGGGTGCCCGGTGGCCGTGGTGACGTCCCTGCTGTCCGCAGGATGTCCATGAGGAGCCCCGTGTCCCCACCGCCGGAGCTGGATGGAGCGGGCGCCATGGTGAACTGCGCCATCAAGACGGAGGAGAAGAAGGAGGGCGGCCCCGAGACCCCGCCGGGGGCTGCCCCCAGTGCCGAGCCCCGGCCCCACGAGCCCCCGGGGCCACTGGCCAGGGATGTCACCGACCCCCAGGCCCTGCCACAGGTGGGTGTGACAAAGGTGGTGCTGTCCCCATCCCTGCTCCAGACCCTCCCATTCCATGGAAGAAGCAGTGGCTGCTCCTCCCGGGTGGATTTTCCTCATCCCAAGGACTCAAAAGTGAAATCTGAGGCTCTGCCGAGGTTTTTTGGCTGCTCTGGGGTCATCCCTGGGGTTTGAGGGTGGTGTGGAGCCCCCCGCTGCCCCCTCCAGGCGTTCCTCATCCCTTCAGGCTCCCTTTTCCATTGTCCTTGGGTTTTCCCTCTCCCTGACCTCTCCCTGCTCTGCCTTCAGAGGGGAAGGGAGCTCAGAGGGTCCAGGATTCAGGAGAACCTGCCTGCATCCCACCAGATCGGGATGTCCCATCCTGGGGGTGTCCCTGGCAGTGCCAGCAGTGCCCAGTGACATTCTGTGTCCCGCAGGAATCCTGCTCTCCCTCCAGGGACATTCCCGAGCCCCGGCGCTCCGCCTTCGAGCCGGCCGGCAGCGGCCAGGAGAAGCTGGACTTCAACAGGAACCTGAAGGAAGGTGGGAAACGTTCCCAAGGGGCCTCTTGGGACCCTTTCCCTGCCCTTCAGGATTTTCCCAAAGCTGTGGGATGGACTGAGCCGTGGTGCAGAGCCTTGGGATGTGCTCACGTGGTTGTCCTCTCCTCCCTGTCCCTGTCCCTGTCCCTGTCCCTGTCCCTGTCCCTGTCCCTGTCCCTGTCCCTGTCCCTGTCCCTGTCCCTGTCCCCCAGTGATGCCAACCATCGAGAAGCTGCTGTCCAGTGACTGGAAGGAGCGGCTGCTGGGCCGGAACACGGCTGAATCCAAGGAAGTGAAAGGTGGGATCCACCTCCACCCACCTCCCTCCTGCATCCCAGCTGGAAACGCGGCCTTTCCCACCAAGGCAGGAGGGGACATCTCATTTCACAGAGATTTGTCCCTTTTTTAATTGATTTTTTTGGGGGGGTGAGCATCTCTGCTGCCTCTGAGTGCGTGGGATTGGGGGAGGGGGTGGGTTCAGCATGTGGGGATCTTTCCATTCCTCCCCAGTCTGACATTCCCTGGTCACCCAGTGGTGCAGGACTTCTCTGCTTGACATTCCCCACCCCAAAGACTTGGATCTCCCCAGGTCGAAGGAAACGGGAAGCGCGCTCCTTAAATAAAATCACCACCACCCCACCTTGTGCTGCTGACCCTCTCCCCCCTTCCCAACCCTCTGACCCTCATCCAGGTGGGTTTTTCCCTCCCCCAGGAACCCAGGAGAGCCTGGCAGAGAAGGAGCTGCAGCTGCTGGTGATGATCAACCAGCTGTCCACGCTGCGGGACCAGCTGCTGACGGCGCACTCGGAGCAGAAGAACATGGCCACCATGCTCTTCGAGAAGCAGCAGCAGCAGATGGAGCTGGCCCGGCAGCAGCAGGAGCAGGTGGGGACCGTCCCTCCCTCCGGGGATGCCTTTGGGGGTGGCTTTGGGGTCCCCTTTTCCCGCCCCAAACCTTCCTGGGAAAGTTTTCCCTTCCTCGGAGCTGGGAGGCCCAAGGGTGGATGGAGATGGGGATGGAGCTCTTGAATAAGAACAAACCAGCCCAGGTCCCTGCTGCCTGTGCTCACCTTGAACATCAATTTTTCCTCTCCCGAGGGCAGGGGTGACACCGCTGTCACGCCTGGGGTGGGGGTGGCAGCTCCCTCCCAGCCCTTGTGTCCCTCGAGGCGGCTCAGGGGCAGCTCAGCCCCTGCTCGTGCCCTTCCCACGGCCCTGGGGACACCCTGCAGCCCCTTTTTGGTGCTTCTGGCCGGGTTCTGCCAGGTTGGTGGCCAGCCCGGCGCTGTCCTTGATGTCACCAACCGTCCCTGTCCCCTCCCCAGATCGCCAAGCAGCAGCAGCAGCTCATCCAGCAGCAGCACAAAATCAACCTCCTACAGCAGCAGATCCAGGTAAAGGCAGGGGACACCTCCCCTGGCCCCTTCCCCGTGTCCCCCTCCCCACGCTGGGTGACCGCAGCCTCCCCGTGTCCTGCTGTCCCCTGCCGGGGGTGACGCTGCCGCCTTGCGCTGATCTGGTGTCCCTGTCCCCTCCAGCAGGTCAACATGCCCTACGTGATGATCCCCGCCTTCACCCCCGGCCACCAGCCCCTCCCGGTCACCCCCGAGTCCCAGCTGGCGCTGCCCATCCAGCCCATCCCCTGCAAACCAGGTGAGCTGGGTCCCCCTGGCACTGTCCCAGCCCTGCAGGGTGGCCTTGTCCCCCCCAAGCCGTGTCCCTGTTGTCCCCGACCACTGTCCCTCTGCTCCCGCAGTGGATTACCCGGTGCAGCTCCTGCACAGCCCCCCTCCTCCCACGCTGAAGAGACCCGCAGGCCCGGGCCACCTCCAGATGCAGGTACAGCCCCCAAACCCCCTCCAACCCCTGGTACAGCCCCCAAACCCTGGTACAGCCCCCAAACCCCCTCCAAACCCTGGTACAGCCCCCAAACCCCCTCCAAATCCCTGGTACAGCCCCCAAACCCCCTCCAAACCCCGGGCACACCCCCCCACCCC